AATGAGTTTGTTTTAGATAGCATAGGGTTTAAAAAAAATATATTTAAGGAAGCAAGTATTTAGTAACGTTATGGTGTCATAAAATCATATAAACATCTTAAGGTTTGTTGATAACTGCAATTGAATCGTTTTATGTGCACCAATGAGTTTAATTTAGATAGCATAGGGTTTAAAAGGGATTTATTTTAGGAAGTTAGTATTTGGTAACGTTATGGTGTAATGAAATCATATTAACATATTAAGGTTTGTTGATAACTGCAATTGAATCGTTTTATGTGCATTAATGAGTTTGTTTTAGATAAAATAGGGTTTAAAAAAGATTTATTTTAGGAAGTTAATATTAATTAACGTCATTGTGTCATAAAATCATATAAACATCTTAAGATTTGTTGATAACTGCAATTATATCGTTTTATGTGCACCAATGAGTTTGTTTTACATAGCATAGGGTTTAAAAAAAATATTTTAGGAAGTAAGTATTTAGTAACGTTATGGTGTCAGGAATTCATATAAACATCTTAAGGTTTGTTGATAACTGCAATTGAATCATTTTATGTGCACCAATGAGTTTGTTTTAAATAGCATAGGTTTAAATAAGATTTATTTTAGGAAGTAAGTATTTAGTAGCTTTATGGTGTCATGAAATCATATAAACATCGTAAGGTTTGTTGATAACTGCAATTGAATTGTTTTATGTGCATCAAAAAGTTTGTTTTAGATAGCATAGGGTTTAAAAAAGATTTATTTTAGGAAGTAGGTATTTAGTAACGTTTTGGTGTCATAAAATCATATAAACATCTTAAGGTTTGTTTATAACTGCAACTGAATCGTTTTATGTGCACCAATGAGTTTGTTTTAGATAGCATAGGGTTTTAAAAAAATGTATTTCAGGAAACAAGTAATTAGTAACGTTATGGTATCATGAAATTATATAAACATCTCAAGGTTTGTTTATAACTGCAATTAAATCGTTTTATGTGCACCAATGAGTTTGTTTTAGATAGCATAGGGTTCAAAAAAGGTTTATTTAAGGAAGTTAGTATTTAGTAACTTTATGATTCATAAAATCATATAAACATCTTAAGGTTTGTTGATAACTGCAATCGAATCGTTTTATGTGCACCAATAAGTTTGTTTTAAATAGCATAGGGTTTAAAAAAGATTTATTTTAGGAAGTTAATATTAAATAACGTCATTGTGTCATAAAATCATATAAACACCTTAAGGTTTGTTTATAACTGCAACTGAATCGTTTTATGTGCACCAATGAGTTTGTTTTAGATAGCATAGGGTTTAAAAAAGGTTTATTTAAGGAAGGTGCATTTAGTAACTTTATGGTTCATAAAATCATATAAACATCTTAAGGTTTTTTGATAACTATAATTGAATCGTGTTATGTGCACCAATGAGTTAGATAGCATAGGGTTTAAAATAGATTTATTTAAGGAAATAAGTATTCAGTAACGTTATGGTGTCATAAAATGATATAAACATCTTAAGGTTTATTGATAACTGCAATCAAATTGTTTTATGTGCATAAAAAGTTTGTTTTAGATAGCATAGGGTTTAAAAAAGATTTATTTTAGGAAGTAGGTATTTAGTAACGTTTTGGTGTCATAAAATCATATAAACATCTTAAGGTTTGTTTATAACTGCAACTGAATCGTTTTATGTGCACCAATGAGTTTGTTTTAGAAAGCATAGGGTTTTAAAAAAATGTATTTCAGGAAACAAGTAATTAGTAACGTTATGGTATCATGAAATTATATAAACATCTCAAGGTTTGTTTATAACTGCAATTAAATCGTTTTATGTGCACCAATGAGTTTGTTTTAGATAGCATAGGGTTTAAAAAAGGTTTATTTAAGGAAGTTAGTATTTAGTAACTTTATGGTTCATAAAATCATATAAACATCTTAAGGTTTGTTGATAACTGCAATCGAATCGTTTTATGTGCACCAATAAGTTTGTTGTAGATAGCATAAGGCTTTTATAAAATCATATAAACCTCTGGCTATGTACGTATTTGTGTAGCCCTTTATTTTTCTCCAACTTTATTTGCAAATTAAATTACTGTGCGGCAGTGCGCTTGACTGCGTGGCATGGCTTGCCTCGATTTGAACATGGGATAATTTTGATAATTGAAAAATATATTTATCGAGAAAGTTTGCGGGAAAATCACAGAATTAAAACTATTCGATTTAATTAGATATTTGATTTATTTTTATGGTTATGTAGATAATGCAATGTTGAAAACTATTTTTCTTTCTTTTTTATATAAATAATAAAATTAATGAATAAGAAAGAAATTTTTAAAGTGAATTTGTACAAATAATTTGTGAATAGCTATTTTCTATTTTTTAGCCTAGTAATCTTCTATGAAGTCAGTACTGACAACGAAGGACCAAACTAACTCCTTAACTGCAAATCATTGATTTACATTTTAAGATTTTAAAGTCGGTTACATTTTTTAAAAACCTTCATTACGCCCCTGCTTAAAATACTATTTTCTGTAGAGTGATGTGCGATGAGTTTATAGCCAATTAAATGTCACACAATAAAAACAAACTAAAAAAAATCTCAGTTTTAAAGGCACATGCGCAACAACGTAATTACTAACAATTATATAAATGTGCTATGTACAAATTATTTTTTTTTCACTACTTAATTGCATATGCTTGTTCAATGACAAAAAATTTGCACGTCAAATATATGTAAAATATTTAAATAAATAGAACTTATATTTCTTATGTTAAGTTAATGGTACATATAATAATAATACTACTAATAAATAGGTACCTATTATACTAAACATATAATATTTACTTATGTGACAGTTGTGTTAACTATTTGATACATAGGTAGATAGGTGAGGTATCTTATTTACTTTATTTATTTTTAGTATCATTTAAAATAGTTGTGCATACTATACTTATTCTACGACAAATACTTATTATCTTAAAATGATTTAAATCAAAAATTTGTATAGAGCGCCATCTATGAAACAATAGGAGAATCTGTGTGTCACCGTCAAATGTCAAATTTTTATACTTTATAAACACAGATTATAAAGGTTATAAATCGAAATGTATTTCCTGAAAATTGACAGTTTTTTACAGCGAAAGTAAAGAAAATGTTTTATGAGCACTTTACAGTGGAGTTCGTGTCCGAATTTAAGTTATAGTTTACTGCCGGCGAAATTAAAAGGTCAGTACAATGTTCATATAAACTTTTCAAATATTGGCGTTGAGAAACTATTTAATACTTTTGTATTTTTGTATTGAGATAATAAAATAATTTTCACATTTAGTATTATTTTACAAGAAAGGCACGATTGTATGACATTTGACAACTGTCAACTAACTTAAAACTAACTTCAGCCCGTGACTAAAAACCTGTTGCTAACTTTAGCCCGTGACTAAAGCGCCATAAAGCCACAACTTGTCAATGTGTATTTAAAAGGTCACTTAGTGTCATGGAAACATGTACTATATTAATAATAGACGTTTTTAATTTCCAATATTTTTTTAAATAACTTAGAAAGTAATATTATTATAATATTTATCAATCTACACCTTATCTTTTATCTTATATTGGCAATTCAGTTTACTTAATTATTAAAAAAAATATATATTTATTAACCTTATCGAGTTACCTAATCTAGTACTGGGTAGTAACTTAAAACATTAGGTGAGTATAATACAAAATATATTTTTTTAAATACAGGTCATAAAATTTAATAGGAAATATTATTTACACGATATATTACAATAAAACTTTACAAGTGAATATTACAAGAAAATATTGCAAAAACAAGGAATAACTAAACTTATATTAAAATATTTGACACTTAATGCTATGCGGGTTTAATATTAAAATACAATGGTGGTTTGTTACCAAAGTTTTATAAAGATTGAAATTTTTTTAATAATAATTTTAATGTTTACTGTGTCTTACAAAAATTAGCAATCTGTCATTCTCGTCTAGAAGATAAGAGCAGAGGCTGTGTTTAAATTACAATAAAAAATATTTCTAAAAAGTGTACAGATCAGTGTGTGGTATAAATGTGTTCCTCATGGTTTAAACATTGTCACTTTAATGTGTTTTAATTTTAACTCTGAAAACACGCAGTAAAATGGCCAGTGTCCAATTACTGGTTGGTAAAAAATGTAAATTTATATTATTGGACATATGTCCAATATCATACCGTATTTGTATCCCGGACATTTACCAGCCAATTCTTATGTAAAATTGTCCCCTGAATCCGAAAAGACCGTCAAAAACTATAAAAGTTAAGCAGTTTTTGAGATATAGTCAATTCCATATTATATGTAAAATTGATTATATTTCAAAAACTGTTCTAATTTTATAATTTTTGACGACATTTTCGGATTCAGACAATAATATTTCATAGGAATTGACTGCTAAATGTCCTGGATACAAATTGCTGTTGACGATAATTATTAGTGGCTGCTTTTTCGCTATGACATTTTTAGAGAGTAAGTAATATAGTAATTTCTTCGTCACAGGACATCTTGCAGAATAACAGTGATTTAAATACAGTGCATGATAGAGAACATAAAAACTAATGATAACAAAATTAATAAATTCGGAAAATACTTTTAACATACCACCCGAAAAAATATTAGATATATATAAATCATCCTGTTCCGGCCTAAACATTATAAATGCTTTGCAAACTAGAGATACCACACTTAATGATATTTGCAACAAACTATTTCAAAAGTCAGATCAAGGAATTAGTAATTACCTTCAGAATCCAGAAAAGGGATAAGGAATCCGAGAAAGAAATATATGCATTCATGAATTATATGATATTTACAAAAACGTAATACAAAAAGTTACCTAAAACAGCGATTTACCATTTTTGTTATTTGATGTAAAGTTGTTATGTTTATATAAAAATTGTATGTCCAATAACTATGGTCCATGTGTCCAATCGATCAAATTGAAAAGTTAAGCAATCTGTTTTATATAATTTAATAACATTTTAGGACCCAAATTATGGAGGACTCGGTATATTTTGAACCAGTTTCAAAAGAGACAATAAATAAAATATTAGAAAAATATAATTATACGGAAAGCTCTCTAAAAAGTGATGTGGATTCTTTATATGATTGGTTCGCAACACAACCTCATTTTCCCACCAAATTAGGTAGCTAACAGTTTTATTTTTACATTATCAGGGAAACCTTATTTTTCAATAAAATATTGTCATTATAAAATAGTTAAATAGTTTTTTTTAGATAAGCAACTTTTACCTTTATACCTATTGTTTGGAAAAGGAAGTATAGAGACCACCAAGCAAAAAGTAGATTTTTACTTCACCCTTAGAAGCAAAATTAAGGAATTTTTTGAAAATGACAATCCCACCCATGACCACCTGCTGGATTTTTCAAAGCTGATGTAAGTAACCAAGAACAAAAAATATTTCTTCGGAAGATACGAGGTGTGTTCAGAAAATATCGGGAATTTTCGTTTTTTGAAACAAATTTTTATTTATTCGTCTACATTAATGTTGTCGCCTTCAAAATAGTCCCCATTGGATATTATGCACATGTGCCAGCTCTTCTTCCAATACTCAAAACACTTCTAAAACTCGATCTTTGGGATAGCCTTTAGTTCTTTCAGCGATGCGCTTTTAATGTCATCTATGCTTGCAAAACGACGGCCCTTTAAGGTTCTCTTTATTTTTGGGAATAGGAAAAAGTCAGACAGAGGCATGTCTGGCGAATATGGAGGCTGGGCATCATTACAGTATTGTTTTTGGCCAAAAATTTTGCTCAAAATTTAACAATTTTAGAACAAATTTTGCTGCCACGCGTTTCATACCCAAAACATTCGAAAAAATTTCATGGGATGACCCAATCAATATACCAACATCATCAGCGATTTCTCTGATGGTTTATAACCATTTCTTCCACTTGTTAATGTGCTTGTGCGTTCGGGGAGTTCGTCATCTTCAACGTCTTCACGGCCATCTTGGAAACTCTTATACTACTTGTAAACTCTTGTTTTACTTATAGCACACTCACTATAGGCATTTGTTAACATTTCACAGAATTTATTTAATTTTTTAAGCAAAATTGGATACAAATTCTTTGATCCATTTCTTTTAACGAACGAAAAATCGCCGAGCTCATAAAACACGTCTAACCTTAGCGACTGCCATAGACAAAGTAAACAATGAAAACAGCTAAAGTTTTTATCATACTTCGGGGGCATGTATACCAACATAATAAAGAAAATTTTATGACAACCGGACCCTCCGAACCCGCGAAATTTAACAATTCCCGATATTTTCTGAACACACCTCGTATCAGAAGCTATCAGATTTTGCTGTAAAATTAAGATGTAATTGGGATAATTGTGACGTATCTTGAATGAATTGCGTAAATATAAATAATTTTCATAGCTTTTGAACAAATTTGTTTTCAAGATAACTATACTTCTTCCACTAATATCTGTTTTCTTTAAGCACTAAATAGTGCAAACATATTCAACATTTTCTTTTTAGGTACATTGTCCCATTGCCAAAGTTGAATCATGACCTGGGCAGGGTCATGGTCATGCATATGAGAGAGACTGACCTTCCCTATGATCCCATCTTGAGTTTTAAAACAATAATGAACATCACAGACCTACGACTGCATGAAGATGTATCAGTTGGTACTTATATAATTTATGACGGAAAAAACTCAAAAATACAACATGTAACTTGTTGGAGTCCAATGTTGGTTAAGAGAATGAACGATTGTTTTAATGTAGGTACATAAATTTAAGAAACATGCAGAAATAATAATTTTGTATTTTTTCAGAAAATGTTTAAAGAATCAGTTCTTGGTATTCATTTAATTAATATACAACCATACATAACCAACTTCCTTAATGTTATTAAACCAGTTATAGGAAAAAAAGTTGCTAGTCGTGTAAGTAATTTTTTATGTTGTTTGGTAGTATTGTTAACATCAAATTTGTTTTTTTTTAGTTTCATATTCATCAAAGTGTTGAAGACATGTACAAGTTTATAGACAAAGAAATTCTACCAGTGGATTTTGGTGGGAATGAAAAATCCCTTGATGAACTGACAGGTAAAGTTACAGTGATAAGGAAAAGTAGATATTATGCACATGTGCCAGCTCTTCTTCCAATACTAGAAACACTTCTAAAACTCGATTTTTGAGATAGCCTTTAGTTCTTTCAGCGATGCGCTTTTAATGTCATCTATGCTTGCAAAACGACGGCCCTTTAAGGTTCTCTTTATTTTTGGGAATAGAAAAAAGTCAGACAGAGGCATGTCTGGCGAATATGGAGGCTGGCGCATCATTACAGTATTGTTTTTGGGCAAAAATTTTGTTCAAAATTTAACAATTTTGGAACAAATTTTGCTGCCACGCGTTTCATACCCAAAACATTCGAAAAAATTTCATGGGATGAGCCAATCGATATACCAACATCATCAGCCACTTCTCTGATGGTTTATAACCATTTCTTCCACTTTTTCCATGTTTTTATCGGTTGTTAATGTGCTTGTGCGTTCGGGGCGTTCGTCATCTTCAACGTCTTCACGGCCATCTTGGAAACTCTTATACCACTTGTAAACTCTTGTTTTACTTATAGCAGACTCACTATAGGCCTTTGTTAACATTTCACAGAATTTATTTCATTTTTTAAGCAAAATTGGATACAAATTCTTTGATCCATTTCTTTTAACGAACGAAAATCGCCGAGCTCATAAAATACGTCTAACCTTAGCGGCTGCCACAGACAAAGTAAACAATGAAAACAGCTAAAGTTTTTATCATACTTCGGGGGCATGTATACCAACACAATAAAGAAAATTTTATGACAACCGGACCCTCCGAAGCCGCGAAATTTAACAATTCCCGTTATTTTCTGAACACACCTCGTAATTCAACATGAACACTTATAATAGTACAAATGTCGATAGATTAAATATGTATTCAGCGACCAACACAAAAATTTTATAAGGATAGAATTAAGTTAATATAAAGTGAAAACATGAATTTCAAACTAAAGTAAATAGTAAGCTGATCAATAATGTAGCACAGTAGGAACATAGAAACACTTTTTATCCTCATTTGATCACCAGGTCACAATTATAGATTTATCCCAGTCCCTGAACAATTTTGCAAATACCTACTAGTATTCGAAAAAATAATATTCAATAATTACACACCAGAAATGTGGTACTAACCTCACAATGATACACTTCCCAACACTAATTAAAACTGCAAACTGATGATGCAGATTGCAGTTGAGTGACCGGCGATATTTTTTTTAGTGAAATTACAAAAATCCTTTCACCACTACAAAGATTTTTACGATGCCAGGGACACATGGGAAGTAAATGAGGAACTTAGACCTACAAAAACAGAAAATGATGATTTTTTGGGATATCAAGGCAACTTTAAGCAACTTGAATTTGATTAAATTAAGTTAAAGTAATAATTAATCATGTAACATGTTTAATACAATAAAAGAATATATAGATAATTTTCAAAAGAGTTTTATTATACGCTAAAGAAGTATCGGATTTTGCATTTCGTGAATTTAAGAATTATCAACAAAACACAGATTATACATCATTTTTAAATAAATATGTAGTTTTTTCACAAAAGAGAGGAAGGCAGAAGTCTTTCTTGACAAATTTTGTTCAATTGCACAGCTAAATCGCGCAAGTTATTTGTGTTTTACGTTGCAAGGAAAAAACTAAACAACATTTTAGTACTCGATTTCGATTGATTATTCCTTATATCATTGATTAAGAAACTCAACGCTTAAATGCTTATATAGTTACGTTAGTGTGTTTATTTTATCAAAGGGATCATGGTGAATTATTGTGTTTTTAATTGTAAATAAAATTCAAGAACTAAATCGTTGCATTTTCATGTTTTGCCAAAGAATCCAATTCGGTAGGTACATTTGTTGGTGCAGAATTAACTAATCATAACTTTACCTAACATAATTTATATTTAAGTTTGGACATTTTTAAGAAATTAGTAAAAAATAATTTTTGCACAAACATAACCTTAAAATCAACCATTTTTATATTTGAGTTCTCTAAAAAACGCCGACAACTGCATTTTAAACAACAAAATATACATACGAATTTATGGCAACATAATATTATGTATAATATATAATATATGGTGGAGTGGAGACTTTCTTAATTTTTTTATCAAGGGCACCTTGTTATTGTTTCCAACTGAAAACCCGTCAAAATGATTTCAGTATAAAAAAAATAACGAAATAGGTAATAAAATGGTTTATAAGCACGAAAGCAAACAAAAGAACGTGATCGTTTATAGGAAGTGAGCAAATAGAAAAGTAAATGAGCATTTCAGTAGTGCCAACCTTCCGGCAAATTAAATAATCTGAAAGAGATAACCGGACCGAATTTGTTCCCTGAACAGCAAAGTTGTTTATAGTTAATTAAATTAATTATATTATTTAGGTCAAGTTTAGCAAATTAACAAGTAATTCATGGCACTATTGAACAACATTATAAATTAAGGGTGCATTTCACAAAATATATGTAGTTAAACGAAATCTAGACGAAAACTATAGTTTTTTTGGCTTTATTAAAAACATTTAAAGAATATGAACATTATTCATTGGTACATTCACACTATTTATTATTAAAATAACTCAAAAGGGTAGAAAAACTTAATGCGAGTGTTTATTACCCCTTAATGTGTTAAATAGTGACAAAATGTACACTACAGTGCATGCCAATTTCTTTGTCTGTTTTGATGTTACTAAGACCTCTTTTTCTTTACACTACTAGTGCACATTGTATCACAATTAAAGTTAAATTACACCAATAGTGGCAAAATAGACTGAAAAAACTGGTAGTAACCGAAATGCGTTTTAAAATGTTTGGTTGGTACCTATCTACCTACGCAGTGCATATCCGGAGATACTGCGTTGTGGAAGTGTGGCATTTTTGTTCAGTTAGATTTTAATTACGGTGAATCCATAAGGGGACATTCTTATTCATTGGTAAGTATTATACTTCCTTTTTCTTTAAGCCTTAATACTCAATAAATACCAATATGTTAAAAGGATGTCCATACCCGACCTATATTATATATCAATAATTTACGGCAGTAGGTCGGGTACTTGTAAAATTAATAATATAAATACACACTTGATTTACTTTTTATTTTCAAGCGTAATGGTTGTTATATTAACCTATACCTACATTTTTATTAATATTATGGAAAATTGTACACGTGTGGTAAATCCCCTACATACAGCCGCCTGACGCCTCTCTACCAATGGGATCACCCATTTTTTATAACAGAAAAATGGATTACTGATGAATTCTCAAGATAATTCATTGCTTACAAGTTGACAGCCAGTAAAACATTGCATTGATCTAAAACTTTTACGTTTTAAGGAACCATTTTGCTTAAGCCAGCCATACGACTCAAATATAAAATTATATTTTAAAAGGCACCGATTTTGATAATTGTCATAGATTTTTGTTCCAAATAAATGTTTCTCTTTATTTACCTTTTTGTTTTATTCACTACCACCAATAGGTTTTACTCAAATAATAGTGTTAATTTACACTAGAAGTTTGCACTAAAAGAGTTTACTCTCTTAAAATGAATTAGTCAAAAATAACTAATTATAAGTCATATTTGACTAATTGTCATAGTGAAAAAGCAGTCACTAATAATTAGTCAAATTCCACTGAATGAAATAGTCAAATTAGTAAATTTAAATTTAAAAAAAGTTTTGACCCAGCCTGGGATTGAACTCAGGTCTCTCACTTGACAAGTTTGTCAAGCTAACCTCTTAACGCATTCGGCTGTCAGCCGCTCTTATAAAAATTAATTTTATTTGTCAATAAATATTGTTCATAATATTTTAAAGTTTAATATATTATTTGTGTTGCCATTTTGAGCTAAACTTTTTGCATCTTTATTTGTTTTATGGGTCATTTAACCATGGAGAGGTATATGCATTTAATTCAAATAATACTTTGTTGTTGGCCGTAAACGACTAAAGAAATTAGTTACTTTTAACTGTCAGAAATAGTCAAATATGGTGACTAATCTTAAATTAGTCAAACTTTAACTATTTACATAGTAAAAAATAACTATTTAAAAGTGAAAACGACTATTTTATTAGTAAAAAATGCTGGTACTAATTCAAATAGTAAAATTTTGACTATTTCATTTTTAGAGAGTAGGGAAAATATAAACGTTGAAAGATAATTGCCCAATTTATTTTATAAAACAACAGTTTTTAAAGAAAATTACTACGTTGCCATGTCGTGCAAAAACCTGTTTATAAAATACAATTTAATAATTTTGTGTGTTAACCATTGTCCTTGATAAAAATTCCCAATTGTTAACAGAAATAGTTAAAATTAACGAGATACAATCTATAATGCAGAATTCAATTTATATCATTATTATTGTTACGGTCCTGATTTTGATATTCCCTGAAGGGTCCTTAAATTTCTTATGGAGCGTTTATTTTTTCTATCCAAGAGGTAGGAAAGAAATTTATAAAATTATAATAAACCTGTCAATATTTCCTTTTGTATTTTTATGGCAAATAAAAAACTTTGATGGTGTGTAATAAACTTTATGAAGAAATTTTTTACCTTTTGTTTTATTTCCTTTAGGATTTTCATAAGTGTTTATTTTCATCAGTTCGAATTTCCTTTGCATAAAAAAACGTAAAAGTTGGACCTAAACGAATTTCCTTGGGAAATGCGCTTAACAGGGTCAAGATGAAATTATGCATAAATAGATTAATATAAAGGTTTCTATATGGGTGATTCCACAAAAGTTGGGCAACTTTTGACCTTATTTTGTTTATATAGTTTTCGGAGAAAATTAAACAGTATTTTGTTATGATAACATAGATAATATAATAAATATACTGTTCCAGACCGGGCCAGTCACTTTTTCAAACAGTTTCTGAAATATCTGTGTTTTCTAAATTTGAATGCAAGGGAAGTGACGCGTATACCAGGGTACTAATTAAATACATAATTTATTGGAAAATATAAGATTTATTGCAACTTTGAGCTTATTATACATTAAATATCTTAAAATCAAATAATACCACACATCAGTGGCGGCTGGTGGATTTTGGGTATACCGATATCTCAATTATTAGATATGGGACCCACACCAAATTTATATGAGTTTATAATGACATTAAATAAACAAGTTCTGCTCAAGCAGAATTTAAATTGAAGTTTGCGAAAAAAAGATAACCGAAACATCGAACATGGAACTGACGACACGGTACTGATGAATGGGATACAAATTTGAGATTAAGTATTTTACTGATATTTTTTATTAGTGGATGCTACTTATCAACAAATCACATATAGCCTTATATAAATTACAATGAAATATATATACGTACGAAAATAACTACTCACCACAGTACTGAAATTTTGACTGGAACTATACGTGCATTCACCACAACTTCGCCGCTTGCATTGTTTTCAAGATGACTTTCGCGCAAAGGGCTGGCTCTGTAGGTAATTTTTTACCAACACTTGAGTTAAAACGAGGACTTGACGTTTAAACTTTAATATTTCGCAGGAATTTTGAATTTTAACATTGGACACAGAACTGACGGGTAAAAGTGAGTACAAAGATTATCAATTTTTTAAAAATTGCTATTATTCGAATCTATGATAAAATATAAAAAATACATTATTTAATGTTTTATAGTTTGTAGTGAAATTGAAAAATTTAAGATAAATTGAATAAATTTTAAAATAAAACCACTCAAATATTTGATTCAGGAGTTGTGACATGCCAAGGTACTGATGTTTTGAATATTAATTATGTTTTTCTACAAACGTGCTTTTGAAAAAATACATTAAAATTGGGTGGACAAGTTAAAAAAACCTGGATTTTTTGTAATATACTAAAATATTTACAAAAAATATTAAAATAAATACTCTATTGACTGATGACATCAAGTTGTCCAACTTTTGTAGAATCACCCATATTTCATAAAAGCTCTTTTTATGATCTGGTATTGCAAAATAAAAATTTTGATGACAACACAAAAATTTTCCATTGAAAAAAAAACATGTGCAGTAACTAAACATTTATTTAACACCACTATAAAACAAAATGAAAGTTTTAGAAAAATTTTGTTTTCTTCCAAAAAGTCCAGCAAAATTTTAAATCCTCTTTAGTACTTTCGATGTTAATACAGCCAGAATTTTAAGCTAAAATTAATAATTTTGAAATAAAAGTGAAATTCAAATTTAAAAGTTACTTACGTGTCGTACTAATTAAACCACAACTATTATTTTGTTACTGTGAAAAGCACTCAGCTATTATATGTTGTGAGTATACGATGATGATAATAGTTTATTATACAGGGTGTATTTAAAAACGAGCAAGGCTTCTAAAAAAAGATATCAAAATTTTTTTATCTTCAATAATTAAAAAAAAAAGTATAAGATCTGGACATCTGCGAGGCCATTTCATTAATCCTCTTCTACCAATTCACTGTTCTGGATGGTTTTTAAATATACACCCTGTATATACATTATACACGTGTGGTAAAATTATTTTTTAATTTATAGTAGCATCTCCACTGTATACTGTAGGTACCCGGAATAGACATTGAAAAAACATTGAAAACAAAAAACATTAATGAGTTCATTAATAAAATTACTGTATACACATAATTAATTTGAATTATAATTAAGCATAAAACCTTTTAACTAACATTATTTACAAATACTACAAAATAACAATTTATCTTTATATTTCTATTTAGTTAGGTAGGTACAGTAAAATATTTTTTTTCTAGAAAAAAATGTCTCAAATTAAAGACTTATTAAAAATAACACCAAATTTAAAAAATGAAATAAGAAATAGTTTCAATATAACCAAAGAAGAAATAGAAGAAAATATTAAGTTGTTAAGATTATGGATGGAACAAACTCCACATTTACCCACAGAAATATGTAAGTTTTTTAATATTTTTTTCTTTTAAAGCCTACTTGTTCTATTTTTATTTTGATTTCTGTATAACACCATTTTTTTAATCTTGAATTTAACAAACTTAGCTTAAAACTGTCAAATGTCAAAACTAAACTAGTTATAAATCATGGTTTTTCTATGTTATAAATGTAATTATAATGTAATTGTGGTTATGTTTAAATTATTGTAGGTTAGATTGAACGGTTGTCAACTTGACTTGTCAAAATTCGTAGTTAAAAATGCAATTAATTTGGCTTTGGTTTTGCGTAGATGAGTAAAATCATATAAAAAAGTAGTTAAATATAGGTGACTACTGGCCAGGAAAGACAAAGTATTCCTCTAACGGATAATAATCTTCGCTTTAAAAAAAATGAATATAAAAGCACAATCCACACAAGGTCTGTTTTTCTATGGTCTGTTCTATCCCATGCTAAAAATACTAAAAATCACTGCAACACTACACAGAGTTTAACGGCGGCCATTTTTGTTGTTTACAATTCTTGTGCTTTGGGTTTGTGCTGTTTAATAATTGTTTTAAACGTTGTGTTTCTTACAGAGGCACTTGTAAGCCTCAAATAAGGCCTTTAAGTGCTAAGGACAACCATTTTACTCCTCTTTTATAATAAATATACCTTATTCTATCAGGGCTGTCAAATGACAATTTAAAGGTTAATTTGTGGGTTATAATTTAACCTTAAAATAGACATTTGACAGTTTTATGACAGCCCTGATAGAATAAAGTTTATTTTTTACAATAGAGGAGTAAAATGGTTGTTCTTAGCACTTTAAGGCCTCTTTTAAGGCTTACTATGAGAAACACAACGTTTAAAACGATTATTAATCTGTATAAACAGAGCACAATCCCAAAGCACAAAAATGGCCGCCGTGATTTTTTGTATTTTTAGTACGAGATAGAACAGACCTTGTTGTGTGGATTGTGGTCTTCAGCAGAAAATATTAAACATATGGCAACATTGCTCCAAATCTAAAAGTTCTTTTTAAAAAGTGTCTTTTTTAAAAATGGAAACAATAAAAATATGACCTTCCGTCAATAACACTTTTAACATTACAATTAAATTAAATTATACACAAGGTTTAAGTTAATGCATTATTTTAATAAACACATCTAAATTTAGTGTTCTTAATTTATAAAATTATTATTTTTACTGTTTTCTTGTTTTTTACAAATGTCAAGTTTAATTTAAATATAATTACATTGTAATAATTAAGGTAGCTGGTGAACCGACAATCTGGCAACCCTGTCCGAGAACAGCAACACAATTTATAAACCCAAATTCACTTAATTTTTTAAATCGATTAATTTTAGGATTCTAAGATTATTATTTTTTTTAAGCGAATTCAAGGTTGGAGTATTTTATGTTACACCACAAAATGAGCATGGAAAAGGCTAAAATAGCCTTGGAGAGTTACTACACGTCTAGAAGTGTTTTGTCTGATTTTTTTGATAAATTAGTTCCTGATACTCTTTATTATCAAAGAGTTAAGTCCTACTGGTTAGTAAAATTTCTTTATTAATAAAGTTTTTTGTATAGATAAGGGTGATTCTACAAAAGTTGGGCAACCTTTGACCTCATTTTGTTTATATAGTTTTCGGAGAAAATTAAACAGTATTTTGTTATGAGAACACAGATAATATAATAAATATACTGTTCCAGACCGGGCCAGTCACTTTTTCAAACAGTTTCTGAAATATCTGTTTTCTAAATTTGAATGCAAGGAAAGTGATGAGTATACCAGGGTACTAATTAAATACATAATTTATTGGAAATTATAAGATTTATTGCAACTTTGAGCATATTATACATTAAATATCTTAAAATCAAATAATACCACACATCAGTGGGGCTGGTGGATTTCGGGTATACCGATATCTCAATTATTAGATATGGGACCCACACCAAATTTATATGATTTTATAATGACATTAAATAAACAAGTTCTGCGCAAGCAGAATTTAAATTGCAGTTTGCAAAAAAAAGATAACCGAAACATCGAACATGGAACTGACGACACGGTACTGATGAATGGGATACAAATTTGAGATTATAATTCGAAATTAAGTATTTTTTATTAGTCGATATCAACAAATCACATATAGCCTTATATAAATTACAATGAAATATATGTACGTAAGAAAATAACTACTCACCACAGTACTGGAACTATACGTGCATTCACCACAACTTCGCCGCTTGCATTGTTTTCAAGATGACTGTCGTGCAAAGGGCGGGCTCTGTAGGTAATTTTTTAATATTTCGCAGGAATTTTGAATTTTAACATTCGACACAGAACTGACGTGTAAAAGTGAGTACAAAGATTATCAATTTTTTAAAAATTGTTATTATTCGAATCTATGATAAAATATGAAAAATACATTATTTAATGTTTTATAGTTTGTAGTGAAATTGAAAAATTTAAGATAAATTGAATATATTTTAAAATAAAATCACTCAAATATTTGATTCAGGAGTTGTGACACGCCAAGGTACTGATGTTTTGAATATTTATTTTGTTTTTCTACAAACGTGCTTGAAAAAATACATTAAAATTGGGTGGACAAGTTAAAAAAACGTGGATCTTTTGTAATATACCAAAATATTTTCAAAAAATATTAAAATACCTACTCTATTGACTGATGACATCAAGCTGTCCAACTTTTGTAGAATCACCCATAAACATAAAAAATAATATTCATGCATTATTTTTTTTTAGTTGCGTAGTTTGTATGCCTCAACTGACCGAAGATTATTCAAGAATAACAATACACAAGCTGACCAATGTAGATAGTGATATCTTTGAACCATTGGATTCCCTAATATTACTTTTAATGGTATCAGAAATAAGGTTTTCTGAAGACTACAATTTTAAAGAGATAGTAATAATAGATATGGCTGGGTATTCTATTAAGCATCTAGTAAAATTCACACCAAAAATATTAAGAAAAATGAGATATATACTTATGGTATGTCATCAAATTTGGAAAGGTTCGCCTTTCATAATTTTTTTTTTAGAAATCTTTAAATTACTATATAAAAGAGATCCATATTATACATGCTCCTCACTTTGTGGACAGAGTTTTGCCCATCCTTAGAGCCATAGTACCTGGAAAAATATACAAAAAGGTAAAAAAACAAATTTAACTATAAACTCAAAACATTAATTTATTAAAATGAATAAACTAAATAATAATTATAGACAGTGTCAGCAAGTTAGAAATTATAACCTACTTTAATTTAATTTTTGCTCCACAACCAAGCTTCAATTTATTTTTTGCTAGATAAGCAAGCTTCAATTTTAATTCCAAACTGAGGAAAGTAATATTTACCCAATAAATAAATTGGAATAAAGACTTTATTTTTTATGTTGCGATCGGCTATTTAGATATATGTATATTTTTTATTCAGTTGTTTTTCGGTTTTTGTATTTCGATATTTTGCATTTTTTTATATTTAATATAATGCTATACAGGGTGTTTCTGGAGAAACGCAAACGATATGGATTTGAAATGTTAATAGCATATACATTTGATTTATAATATACCTAAAGTCAATAGTTTTCAAGATATTATTTTTTTTCGTTAAACTTTTGCTAAATGCACGTTAACCAAAAATAGCCTCTATTTTTTTGTTAGTTTTGTTGACATGAGGTTGATATTTTTAGAATACTAAAACATTGTTTAAATAATTTAATTTTTTAAAGGTTTTTCAACAAATAGCTTGAGAAAAACCACTTGAAATTAGGCAAACTTCAAACAATGATAACGTTTTTATTTTATTTTAACCTAATCAAATAGAAAATTAAAGAATCTTTCGATTGGTATTATAATATATAACTGTTTTCTAAAGTTAAAATTTCAGAGACATTTAACAATTTCTAATATTTTCAATACTATTTTGTATCAACAAACCTGTGAAATTCTACATGTGGGTTAATGTGACAGTATCCATGGTTACCACTTAATCTGTCATTGTTTAAAATTAATTAAAATATTTGATTGAAAAATTAATAACTCGAAAAATATTGACTAGGTATAGAATTTTATGTAGAATTCAAAAATGTAAAAATATATGAGGTGTCCTGTTTAAAATAACAAAGTTAAAGATATTTCTGGTAAAACATGAAGTATTATTTTGTTCAAAATAATTTAGGAAAAAAGTCTAAATCGAATAATTTACGCTATTTTTTAAATCGATGTCTTTCGCGATTCCCTAGAAACTTCTAACGGACTACGTACGTGAAACACCCTGTATATTAAAAGTTATTTATGTGTTATGCTATACTTAATTATTAATAAAAGATACAACAATATTTGTATAAAAATGACAAACTGTACTAAACTAAACATTTATGAATACTGCTACTGCTAATGGGGTAGTTAAATTTTTTCTGACCTATACTTTTTATGGTTTTATTCAAGGCGTTTTGTAATATTAAACATTTCTGTGAAATCTGAATTTCAATTAAGTTTACCGTTTTCGAGATATTTACAAAAAAATATAAATTTTAATGACGTCACAAACCTCGCCATGTGACCAACATTCTAAGATTTCTATTGGTTGAAAATTACCCTGTTGTCAAGTTGTCTTGTTAATGATTTTATTCGGTTATGTCAGAAAATACCCAAAGAGGTTATGTACAAATACTGTCACTGTCAGTTGAGTGAAAGATGGTCACCAAATTCATTAAGTACCTATCTTCCTTATTACGAGGTATCATATTACTGTTTGATATTTTAGAGTCCAAGATATATCTAAAAGAATATAAAGAACTAGGCATTATACTAATGAAATGCATTTACGACAAAATATGATTATAATTATAGGTACTGTCTGTCCACTCTAAGTTGGCTGAACTAAGTAATTTTGTTGTTTAGATATTAAAGAATTGTCGTACTGTGTGCTTTTAAAACAGATTTTATATTATAAATAATACTAGTATACAATATGTACTAGTATTATTTATAATATAAAATCTGTTTTAAAAGCACACAGTACGACAATTCTTTAATATCTAAACTACAAAATTCCTTAGTTCCGCCAACTTAGAGTGGACAGACAGTACTTACTTTATTTGTTTAAAAGCTCCAATGTTCAATGTAACCAACCATTCCACAAGATTCCTCTGCTTTGGAGTCCGTTATTAATAAATCACTTATCTAATATCAATTAAAAATAACATAACAATAACATTGATTTTCAACAATCTAAATTAAAAAAAAAGAAACGTTAAAAAATCAATTCTTCTTCTTCTTCTCAACTAAAATTATAGATCAAGTGGTTTTAAAACTAAAATATTATAACGTGGCGCCATCTATCGTAAGAATCTTAAACTAAACACACTGGCAACCATAGAAAAAGCTGGCAACGTTGTCAATAGCCTAGTGACGTAATTAGGAGATTTTTTTTTGTAAATATCTCGAAAACGGTAAACTCAATTGAAATTCCGATTTCACAGAAATGTTTAAAATTACAAAACGCCTTGAATAAAACCATAAAAAGTATTGGTCAGAAAAATTTAACTACCCCATTCAAAACTGATCCTGGCCACAGAAACATCATTTGCATAAAAAGTTAATATATCAAATAATAGTCAAATATCAATACTTCAACGTGTTATACTCAAATTTAACAATGGGCGAGATTTTTTTATTTTTTTTTTGAAAAAAGTACTGAATTTAGATGTAGAAATTAGGTAAAAAAGTTTCAATCGATTTCTTGAACTCAAATCGACCGTTCGATCCTTTCGCGAAACCGTAGTTAAATTCACTCGTAATCTATTCTTGAAAATGCACCCTAATAATATTTTATTGTAGGTTTACGTACATTCAACAATTGAGCATTTCCATCAATTCGTCGCTCCTGAGTATCTACCCAGTGACTACGGTGGCACCCAAAAATGTCTAATAGAACTTTTTAGTAAGTATTTAAAATAATTCATTTTATCCTTTAAAATATCCTTTAGAAGATATTATCCCAAAACGTGGCAAAAACTTATAACAATGACTGAATAATTGTTGAAAATGCAGTTTTTGTAGGTTAGGGGCCCAGAAACCCTAAATTTGTTGACGTCTAGAACCTGACTGGGTTAAAATCTTATAATTATTAAATTTTTTTTAGATAGATGGGTGGAAGAAATCGACCATTGGACGCCATTTTTTACCCGACATGTTGAAGTCAAATCTGATGAAACCAAGAGAATTGGACGAAATCACGAGTTCGAAATTTTCGGGACTGGCTCTGAAGGGTCGTTCAAAAAAATTAATCTACAGCAATTATTGTAGTTTGTTTTTTAGCTGACCATTTGTATAATATTTTTTATGATTTTAATAGGGTTTTAAGTTTGTTAGAAAAACTCCTATAAAGAGTAGTATGTATTAAAAAAATGGTTTAAAAAATGTGCGTTAGGGATTTTTGTTTTATTTTGTTGATGACTGATTTATTAGTAATTTTATTTTTATTTCAATAAACCTATTTTTATTTATACAGCTTTATTTTTTTTTAATAAAATTTGACATATATGGTTAAATTAACCCAGAAAACTTTAGTGAAACCAACCCGCTGTATGGTTCAGTTTACTAAATATGTTGTTTGTAAAATAAGAGTTACTTCAACCTAAGGCACTCTGTTAAAACGATAAAAACAATTTGCCGTGCATTCCCGGTTGCATAATGTGTACCGATCGCGGCAAAGGCGGTGTGGATCACGTGATGTTCTTAAATCTCGCCTCTGTTGACTTACATGAAGAGTGTATAAGCTCAGGTAGTCCTTTGCTTTGTTGTGACACTACAAGTTGTTCGATACTAAAGAGACCTTAAAAAGGTGGAAACAGCTGTCAATACTTGAAGTATTTTAAGTGAAACGCACTAAAAACATTATCTCTAGCGAGTTGAAGGTTCAATTTTCTGGAATAATACCACTGGTAATATACTAGTAATGCGTCAAGGAACTTTCTGTTTCCTTTTTTTCTGTGTAGTATGATTTAATTTGACCAAAAACACATAATATTTAACACTGAAAAGGAGTTCAATTTACACCAAGTAAAATTTGTTTTAATACTGTGTGAAAGTTAAATTTACACTATTTTAGTATTTTAATTTACACCGGACCAACGAACCATATTCAAAACCATTTTGGTTTGTATCGATATAGACCATGTATGGTGTTAATTTGGTGTTAAAATGGTCCTGAAATTTTGAACAGTGTACAAATAATGAAAACTAAAATGTTGATAAACGTATTAAAAGTGCATTTTTTTATAAGCGCAAAATTCATTTTAGTTTAAAATTTTAATGGCTTTAATTTACATAGTAAGAATAAATATTTTAATTCAAATTGCCAGGTAACAAAAAAACACATAAAAAGGTAAATACATTAAAGATTAAGAGGTTATTAACAATTTTATTTCCAAAAGTTTATAATTATTTTTGTTTTATATGTCTATATATTTAATTTAAATATATTATTTTATTAATAACAACTACCTAGTTTATTAAATAAATTATAGAACATATGTTACATTTAAATTATTTCAAAATCAATTTTATTCCTTAAATATTTGAAAGGTTTAGATTATTGCATAAAAGCCTTTTTATTAAAAGGTTAAAAGTCAAATGAAATGTGCGTAGAAAGAATAATAAATAGCAGGTAGGTAGAATAGTAATGTCCAAATGTGTTTAGAATGTTTTTTATTTTTGAAATTAAGTACACAGTAAAAAATTTTGCCCGTGTAAATTTTTTAGTGTAGGGGTAAAAATATTAGAGTTGATTTGTAAATGTTACACTCAAAATACACTATGTAGCATTTAGTGTTTATTAACTTTATTAAACACATTTAAAGAATATGAACATTATTCATTGGTACATTTACACTATTTATTATTAAAATAAATCAAAAGGGTAGAAAAACTTAATGCGAGTGTTTATTACCCCTTAATGTGTTATATAGTGACAAAATGTACATTACAGTGCATGCCAATTTCTTTGTCTGTTTTGATGTTACTAAGAGCTCTTTTTTCTTTACACTACTAGTGTCACAATTAAAGTTAAATTACACAAATAGTGGCAAAATAGACTGAAAAAACTGGTAATAACCGAAATGCGTTTTAAAATGTTTGGTTGGTACCTATCTACCGACGCAGTGCATATCCGGAGATACCGCGTTGTGGAAGTATGGCATTTTTGTTCAGTTAGATTTTAATTACGGTGAATCCATAAGAGGACATTTTTATTTTTTGGTAAATATTATACTTCCTTTTTCTTTAAGCCTTAATACTCAATAAATACCAATATGTTAAAAGGATGTCCATACCCGACCTATATTATATATCAATAATTTACGGCAGTACATACACACTTGATTAACTTTTTATTTTCAAGCGTAATGGTTGTTATATTAACCTATACCTACATTTTTATTAATATTATGGAAAATTTGTACACGTGTGGTAAATCCCCGACATACAGCCGCCTGACGCCTCTCTACCAATGAGATCACCAATTTTTTATAACAGAAAAATGGATAACTGATGAATTCTCAAGATAATTCATTGCTTACAAGTTGACAGCCAGTAAAACATTGCATTGATCTAAAACTTTTACGTTTTAATGAACAATTTTGCTTAAGCCAGCCACACGACTCAAATATAAAATTATACTTTAAAAGGCACTGATTTTGATAATTGTCATAGATTTTTGTTCCAAATAAATGTTTCTCTTTATTTACCTTTTCGTTTTATTCACTACCACCAATAGGTTTTACTCAAATAATAGTGTTAATTTACACTAGAAGTTTGCACTGAAAGAGTAAAAGTACCTTTCTAAAATTAGAACTTTTCCAAAGTAGTGTTAATTTACTCATTTTTTTTACTGTGTAAAACTAAAAATTGCGTATCCATTGAAACGAAAATTCAGAACGTTTTCCAGTATTTCTGAACTGCTTGGAACGCCTTTCCATCAAAAAATTCTTAAACGAAAATGCACTTTGGGTGTATTTAAAGTTCAACAGAACTGATGACAATTGTCATATTATCTCAAAACCAAGCCATCATCTATTTTTCGGTTATTTTCATAGGTGATTACCAGCTCGAGTTTGGTGTATGCCTTTCGGTACTTCATATATTATTATAATTGTTTAAAAAAATTATTATAATTAAAATATAAAATAAACAAAGTCGACCTTAACATTATTGTACTTATGACCTTAAAATTGAAATTTATTTTAACTCAATTACACATCTAGATACCTATGTAGGTACTTATATTTTGTTATTGTTTTAATTTTACTAACTTATACACGTTTCAAAGGTTATATATTTAGATTTTTTTAAAAGATAAAAACAATAACATTTGCTAACCGCATTCGTATGTAAATAGCATTTTTGTAGACTCCTGACTTTTTTATATAAATGTTCTATAAAACGAACACAAAATTCACTTAAATGGTCAGAAACCTTTGACCTTTTTATTAAAAATATTGAGAAGATATCATTGCTTCTATTATTCAATGGCTGAATTATTTATTGAAGAAAATTTGAATGATCAAATTTATTTTGAAATTTTTGATGAAACGATACAGACACTAATAGAGAAGAGAATGATGAACTAACTTTGAATAAAATTGTAAATTTTCAACCTAATAATAATAATAATATTATTAATAATAATATATTTATTTTCTGTAGACATGTACATGTATAAAAAACGTCTGGTGGATAAGATACATAATATTAATATAATAATAATAATAATATATATATAAAAATGAGAATAATTATTGATAAAAAAAGTCAAAAATTCTATTAAGAAATCAAACTTGGATAATGAATTTTTGTTTTAATGTAATATAAATAAATTGTTTTCAATAAAACACAAACAATAATTGTTTAATTACAATTTTAAGATGTTTTCGATAAAATTATTGTCAATTTAAATAAAATAGCAATTTAACAAACACGTATGTCTAAAAATTGCAATTTGAGGTACTTAAATTTAATTGTTATTATTTAGTGTAAAGTACGTAAATGTCAATTAATTTTTACGTGAATTCTTAAATTAACATATCGACATTGAAAAATTGATTCTTGGAGCCTTTGCCTTTATACCTAATTATTATTATTGTTATATGTATAAAAGGGTTAAGGTCGCTAAAAATTAGGTTAAAAATATAAATACAATTTTAGTAATTTTCCATCAATATACGAGGTGTGTTCAGAAAATAACGGGAATTGTTAAATTTCGCGGGTTCGGAGGGTCCGGTTGTCATAAAATTTTCTTTATTATGTTGGTATACATGCCCTCCAAGTATGATAAAAACTTTAGCTGTTTCCATTGTATACTTTGTCTGTGGCAGCCGCTAAGGTTAGACGTGTTTTATGAGCTCGGCGATTTTCGTTCGTTAAAAGAAATGGATCAAAAATTTGTATCCAATTTTGCTTAAAAAATGAAATAAATTCTGTGAAATGTTATCAAAGGCCTATAGTGAATCTGCTATAAGTAAAACAAGAGTTTACAAATGGTATAAGAGTTCCCAAGATGGCCATGAAGACGTTAAAGATGACGAACGCCCCGAACGCACAAGCACATTAACAACCGATAAAACCATGGAAAAAGTGGAAAAAATGGTTATAAACCATCAGAGAAGTCGCTGATGATGTTGGTATATCGATTGGCTCATCCCATGAAATTTTCGAATGTTTTGGGTATGAAACGCGAGGCAGCAAAATTTGTTCCAAGATTGTTAAACTTTGAACAACATTTTTGGCCAAAAACAATACTGTAATGATGCCCCAGCCTCCATATTCGCCAGACATGCCTCTGTCTGACTTTGAGAATAAGGCAATTTAATTGCTAAAATGTTATTTCAAAATTCATAAAAATTTAGACTTTGATTGAACAAATGTAACACCCGAAACGATGGAATGACCGTTCTGATTAATGTTATGACAAACGATTTGACAAATGTCACCACTGACAAAATAACGATATTTGAGAATTTTTTTTAACGAGTTTAAAAAAAAATATGTAGATTTTTAGCTTTTAATATAATGTCAACCTGACCCTCCGATAACGGAAGTTTCCATGAAATATTAAAACATAGAAACGACTTTTGTCTAGCTATTGTTATAGCTATAGCAAGTTAAATCACTATGTGGTAACAGACTAGAACAATTACATGTACGTATCTTACATCTTACATCTTCTTGTTTTTTTTTTCAAGGTTACAAACTTGATTTTTTACTATTAAGGTAAAAATAGGTCACTCTGAAATCAGTACCATATACGACATCCTAACAATCAGTTGTGTTTTACAGTATGTTTTAGTAAATAAGTGAACATTATATGTTTAGTTTACTCTATGGGTCAAAACTTTATGTAAGGTTTGTAAAACTATAAACCATTCATGTTAATTAAGTTTGATAAAAGCAAATTTTAATAAGGCATGAGCGAAGCTTGCAAGCGAAAAGTTTATGCTTGCATACTATAGTAT